TTGAAGCAGCTCAATTGAATTTGGCTTTTAAATCTTATATCAATTCACCTCCTCTTCATGATTTAAACATAAGATACCAAGTAATTGGGCATTCTTCATTAGCATTTAATGATTTGGTTGCATTATGTGTTGAATAATTGCATAAATTAAATTATAATTTTTAACTAAATTTTATTATACATGACGAGAGATATATGGTTGTCTTGCAATCAGTTTATAGTGCTTAAAAAAATTCACAAGTGACTATGATTTAAAATGTTTATCTTTTGCACATAATCTCCACTACACTTATCATACTAACCCACCAAAATCATAAATCCTAATTACGTTAGTAATCAACAAGAACCTAATGTATTTGAACATGTTTAGCCATTTAACATTAACGTTGCTACTGCTAAATGATATAACTTTGTGGCCAATTGAAGACATCTTCGAGCATCTATTACTAATAGGTGTTGCTTCTACATGTGAAATTTATATAAATCAAAGATATGTTATGTTTCTACCAACAGCACAGATCAAAGATATGTTATGTTTCTACCAACAGCACTTCTACTTAACAATATTACATTTTCGAACAAAACATAAATATCTTCAACCAAATTTCATATTTCTTCTAAAGTAATGCATTGATGAAACTTTAAACTTCTCTTGATAGATTCCAACACTCATTCTCAAAAAAGGGAAGAAACCAAAACACTTGGTCAAAAGAGGAAAGCTCTTCCAACCCCTATAAGAATGGATTATGAAAAATGTTGTTTGATTAATGATAATTGAGATAGAGAGAACGCTATTTATGAATTTAGACATAAATTTACTAGGATTTATGGTTTTAAAATAATCATATTTTTAAAAAGATTATCTTATAATAAGTACTTCGGGTAGTTTAGACGTTTAGTTGGGAGGATATATACCCTTATTAATTATAAATTACATGTTATGAAAAATTCAATTAAGTACTTCGGGTAGAAACTTTCCTGGAGCCCACATTGGATTCTTAGTTATCCTATCTTGAGGATTGACAACCCAATGATTTAAGGAATTAACATCAACCACTAGATGATCAGTTATTTTGATTTTTTTTTTTTGCGTTCTTTTCTGATTCCTATATTTTCTACAAGTTACAAGTGTAAATTGCACATTGCACCATTATGGAGACTAAACGATCCTTGTGAAGTAAAAGTCAACAATTTCAAGACAAAGATTAACCAGCAACTAAGGCTAGGAGCTAACTTCTTCCTACAAGCTCCCAAAACTCTTCATGAGGGATGAAATTTATAAATGAGGGTCTTCCCCTTTATTTCAAAGTTAGTGTGAATCGTACAGAAGTTCTTTAAAAGAGGGTGAAAGAGGCCACTTCAGCCTTTGGAGTACAGACCGCATGGTACCATGGTGGCTTATGGAGCCACAGATTAGATCGTCAGAATAAAAAGCTGATCAAGTTGGGCCTACGAAACACATGAACCAAAGATAATTATACATGACCATATGCATATTTTAGTTTCGCAAGCAGCCATAATTATGCATTTGCATCAAGCATTGAGAATAAAAAAAAATATTTTGATTATTTCACCTATTTAACGACCATTGAAAGGGCCTTGACTCAAATTGGAACATATCCGACAGCCAATAAAAATAGAATGTAAAATGTGGTTCCCCTCTTAGGACTGAAAATCAGTTGAATAAATCGAATCCATAACACAATCATATATGACAGCATGCAAAAACTTATGGATGCCAAATTAATTTGATTTTTTTGTCAGTTGCAACAAATCTTTGTGGTCTAGTGAAATCCTGTGTGTTTCAAGAAAATGCCTCAGAAACTAATGGGCGGAAAAATAAGAAGAATTTTCTGTGAATCTGCTTTAAAGTATGTTTTTTAGTCAGAAAATGTAAATAGAGTATTCACAACTATATAATCAGTTGCTTAGGCTAATTAAAGTTCAAATTGTGAAATGTATCAGTCAAAGATCATAAAAAATAAGTTGACAACACAAATTTATTAAAAAATGTAAGCTTGTTTCAAGAAAAAACCTGGATCTGTCCCTCAATGCCTGAGTGACTTGCTGCTGTGCCGTGCGTCTGACACCATCAATTGTCATCTAAATATTGAGCAAGCAAGGTTGTCACCAGAAAGGGAAAAAAAAATCAAAGCGGAACTTCACCTACCAAAATCACAACCATAAATTCAATGATGAATACCTGAACAGCAGCAGCGGTCTCCAAAGCTAAGGTCTGAGTAACGGTAGTATTGCTCTTGAAGAAAGAGATAATTTGATCAATGGAATCCTTCAGATACTGCAGACCGAAGAAACTTTAACAAACAAGAAAAAAAGCATAACTACCACTATTCATAGATTGTAGTAACATACTGTCATGTAGCATGGAGAAGCTTTAGCAACAAAACTCCAATCTACTTCAGCATCAAAAGGCTTGTAAGTAAATACACCAACAAAAGAATCAGCAGCATATGCACTCTGACAGAAAATTGAAGGACAAAGTTCAGAAAACATGGATTTTAAATAAGCTTCTCTGTAAAATAATGAGATGAGATAAATTAGTCAAACCTCAGCAAGAAGACCATTTGGAGATAAGAGTTTGTAAGATTCCAACTTAAAATCAAAAACTTTTGTCTCTGAATATGTTTTCACAGAGCAGGCCAATCCCTCACATGATAAATCAGCAAGACATTCCTGACCATCAGCAAGCTTTGATGCATTGTGTTTCATGTGAATCTCAAGAAACAACTGAGGCAAGTCCGTCTCCTGACTAGTCACCAGATTCTCCTCAGAGCCATCCTTGTAACCAATTATCTTATTTAGCCTCTCCCAGTCTTCTTCAGTGAAACCTTTGGAACCATTATCATTCTTTCCAGATGCAGTCCTGGTTTAAAGATCAACATAATTCTTATTTAAGTATAAGGTTTGCAATATATAAGGTAGTGCAATCAGGCTTAATAATTAAATTATATAATCAGTGGCCACAACATATTCATCTGAATGTTTAGAGAAACAAAAGTCACTAACATCTAATTTAATTGTGGTAAAAATTAGTATCATTGGGGTGGATATATGATAAAAGAGGTAAGTATAAAGAAGCGAGGATTTGGGAAATGGTGTTTCTATGAAGATAAAATAGCCAAAAACAGACTGCAACGGTTTGGATGGATGTAAAAGAGGATGAAAGATGCACAAAGAAAATAAATAGATTAATTAATGTGATAAAGCTGATATGAAAATGAACATAAGAATATCAACCATCCAAAAGACCACCAAGATTGCTTCACTTTCTTTTTATTCTGATAAGCATCAGATTCAGCAGACTGCTCTACAAACTTGTGTGCCAGCATCCTGCATGAATAAAAGATCAGCTAGAGATGAGAATTTTCAGCAAAAAATAATGGATCATTTTATAACATTTTGCAGTAACATCTCAAATTTTATCACAAGCAAAGATTCATTTTCATTTCAAGTTTGCTAATTGCCAGCACATTTCAGTTGTGCTCAAGCAATTCCCTGCCGTTTCTGATGTGTGTGCTAAGCAATTCCTTACCACACCTGATGTGTGTTCTCAAGCAAATCTTTACTACTTTCTGGAGTGCCTCCATGGTTACAGTTTGATCCACTCTATATCATGAATAATTCTTACAACATCGCCTTTGAATGAATCACATAAGCTCTAAACTTGAAATAAACTTTATGCAGTTGGTGTCATTTGGTCCCCTAAATGGATCATCTGAAGAGTATTTTAACAATAACATTTGCATGGAAGATAAATTCAAGTAGTACTAGAAACAAATTTGGTTTGTAGACTGAGAAAACTGCTTTTGAAGGCCAAGAACAAATTTAAAGTTGGTTTGGGGCAGCTGCAACTTTTTACAAAAGTGATTGTAGAGTTCATATGCCGAAAGCAACTTTTTTGAAAGGTGTTGTGGGGATCATAAATATCTTTTTCAAAAAAGTCGGACAACTTTTTATAGCTCACACTTCCATAATTTAGTTGCAAAAAGCAACTTCCCACCACAAACATTCCAAGAAATCAACAAAAAAACAATAGCCAAAAAAATTTGTGATGGCAATCTGAAATACAAAAAATATTAGAAAAGTGTCCCAAACAAGCCCTATATAATGTTACTTCAAGAAAGCATACACATTTTAGAACTAAAGTCCTTAGTTCACAGAGCTGTGCATATCTCATAATTTAAAAATGGAGATCATATAAAATATTAAATGTCATAATGCACGCATTGACGCGGGAGCTTATCGCTCGTGGTTACCAAAGCTGCGTTAGTAACTGTGGTCCTCCTTTCTAGTTTAATCTCTTTCCTTTCCTAATGCTTTCCCATTATAATTCCTTTCCTTCTTGACTTCTTTCTATTCCTCTCCTTACCTATTATATCTATTTCCTATCCTACTATTTTCCTATTTTATTTACAAATCCCCACTTTATATAGGTGTTATTTTCTGAGGTTTGGGGGAAGTTTAATGAGTGTAGATTTCTTAATACTGCCTTAGAGGTGTTCTTCCCCTCCGAGGGTTATACCCGACGACGAGAAGATGCTACACTGAGGGTTGTACCCAACGACGAAAAGATGCTCCAGGCGTAGCTTGTCTGAGGTGGTACTCCAAGGATCTGGGTCATGCTCCGACTATAGTTCGACCCCGACGAGACATTTATCCTTTCGCAACCCCCTATGGCCACTCTTCCAACAGCCGCAAACCAATGGACCTTGCTGCCATCTTTATTCCCTGCTGCAGTTCGACAATTCCTGCAGCTATCCTATTGCTGTCAGTCGCGCCGACACCCTTCTTGTCGTTGTTCAACGCTTCCAACAGCTGTCGTATTATTGTCATCCCTTCTAGAACCTGTCATAAGCCCTCGCAACCCATCCAAACCTAATCGCAACCCTCCCAGGCCTTCCCCCATCCCGTTATAGCCGTTTCCAACTCTTCCCAATACTGCAGTAGCCAATCCCAAGCAGCCCAGCAGGTCCATCAGATCTACCTACTACCGTAACCCTTACTAGAGTCTGTGTTAGATCTTCAAGTTTGTGTTGTTGTTTTGTTGTCGTTATTTCATATTTCCAAGCGTCATGTCTGTAATCCTTTCAATTTAGCAATAATACTTATTTTTCATTGTGGTTTGGGTTTCTTCCGGTATCATTTGGTACCAGAGCTAGCCCAACCCTAGTTCTATCCTAAGGTTCCCTAGCATCTGCCCCTACCCAAGGCACCTTATAAAATTTTTCTGTCACAAAAGCTTCGACGGATGAAGTCAAAGCTCCCCAACCCCGAGAGATTGACGTGAGAGCTTATCGACCTCGATACTGTAGCAGCTACAGTACTGCGGACGCGTTACTGTAGTTGTTACAGTAACTGTGGTCCTTCTTTCCTACTTAATCTCTTTCCTTTACTTTCCTGATGTTTTCTCATTATAAGTAATTTCCTTCGCTACTTCTTTCATATTTCTCTCCTTGCCTATTATATTGATTTCATATCCTACTCTTTACCTATTTTATCTACTAATCCCTTGTTTATATAGGTGATGTTTTATGAGGCATGGGGAGAGTTTTATTAGTGTAGATTTCTGAGTGCTGACTTAGATGTATTCTTCCTCTCTAGATGTTGTACCCGAAGACGAGAAGGTGCTCAAACTGTAACTCGTCCAAGCTGGTGGTTGTCTCCAAAGATTCGGGTGGTGCTCCGACTGTAGCTCGACCCCGATGAGAAAATTTATCCTTTTGCAACCCCTCTACCCCGCTTATAGCAACCGCAAACCACTCAACCTTCTACCATCTTCATTCCCGGTTGTTTTTTGACATTTCCTACAGCTATCATATTGCTGCCAGCCACGCTAACACCCTCTCTACTGTTGTTCGAAGCTTCTAGCGACTGTCCAGTTACCGCCAGCCCCGCCGACACCTTCCTCGCAGTTGTTTGGGCCTTTCCGCAACTATACCTGCACCCTCCAACAACCGCAACCCCTCCCCTACAGCCGCCAGTCACATTGCATACTTATTTCAGCAATCGCCACCATCTCCCAGCAGACATCCTTCCCGCCTGTAATCACCCCTCAACCACAGCTCCTCCCCTATAGCCGCCAGTCACCTTCCAGCCATCTTTCACCAACCGCAGACATTTTCGACCAGCTTTCTACCCACAGTCCAGCAGCCTCCATCCTCGTTGTCACCCACGGATATCTTTACTTCCCATTTTTTCAAGTTTCGTGTTTGTAATTTGTTTGGAATTCAAAAATAATGATGTGTTTCCGATGTGGTTTAGATTTCCTCCGGAATCTTTTGGTATCATAGCTAACCCAACTCTAGTCCTATCCTATAGTTCCCTAGCATCTCTACCCAAGCCATCCTACTAAAATTTTTCTACCCTAAAACCTTCGACGAATGAAGTCGAAGCTCCCCCAACCACGTGAGTTGACATTGGACCCTATCGCCCACGACGCTGTAGCAGCTATAGTACAGCGACACATTACTGTAGCTGCTACAGTAGTTGCAGTCCTCCTTTCCTTTCCTGATATTTTCCACACTAATTCATTTCCTTCTCTACTTCTTTCATATTCCTCTCCTTGTCTATTATATATATTTTCTATCCTACTCATTACCTATTTTATCTACTAATCTACTCTATATAGGTGCTAATCTCTAAGCTTTGGGGAGAGTTTAATGCAGATATTTGAGTGTTGCCTTAGAGGCATTCTTCCTCTGCGAGGGTTGTACCCAACGATGAGAAGGTGCTTCAGTTGTAACTCGTCTGAAGTGGTGCTCCAACTGTAGCTCGACCCCGACGAGACATTTATCCTTTCGCAGCAACCTCCGCCCGCAAACCACTCGACCTTGCTGCCATCTTCATTCCCTGTTGTTGTTCAATGTTTCCTGCAGCTATCATGTTGTTGCCAGCCATGCCGACACCTTCCTGCTGCTATTTTTCATTTCCAGCAATTGTCCTATTACTGCCCGCCCTTCCAAAACCTACCATAAGCCCTCCCAACCAATCCAGACCTGAACGCAACCCTCCTAGATCTTCCCCCATCCTGTTGTAGTCGTTTCCCGCATTTCCCGACGCTGCAGCAGCCCAGCAGCTTTCGTAGCCCCTCACTTGATCTACCTGCTACCGTTACTCTTATTAGAGTCTGTGTTATGTCTTTATGTTTGTGTAGTTGTTGTTGTTGTTATTTCATGTTTTCAAGCGTCGTGTATGTAATCCTTTCAACTTCAGCAATAATACTTATTTTTTGTTGTGGTTTGGGTTTCCTCTGATATCATGCATCCTACCATATTACTATATATTACAAATAGAATTCTTTTTTACATAAGATTCATCAACTATTCTAGTTTCCAGGAGGAGGTTACAGTTTTCTATGGGGTGGATAATCAATGGAATCATTAGGCAAAAAGGAGCACCATGAGAGATTCCTTAACCAAGACTTTAGTTGGTTTAATTTAAATCATTGGTCATCCAATTGACAAATATTTTCTTTAACCTAACAATACAGATTAAATTTATAAACAAAATTTTTAATTTGCATTTCAGTAATAATCATCTCAATTTCTACATAATCGACTATATGTTCAATTTGTTCCACATGTTTTGAGTGTCTTTCAACATCTAATGCATCAATATTCATGTCAATAAAATGAGGCAAACACAAGTAGGAAAGCAAGATGAAGGTAGCTAATAGGATATTCCTATTAGTAATATAGAAATAATCTTCATATCAACCTCCTTTAATTGATGAATTGAAAAAGCAATTTGTTTATTATTTAAAAGCTCATGATGAAAAACTATGAAGCCAAAAATTTAAGTAGTAAGAAACTTACATTCAGCACATCATAGAAGTTTGTACAAAGCTTAAACGGTTATTTTAAGGAATACCAAACCAAATGAAAGATCAATATTTTCAAGGGATCATCACTTATTCTCATGAAATTAATAATTGAAATAAAGTAAATAATTAATTCCTAATTAATGCAAACAGAAAGAAAATCATATATTTTGGCCACTCAAAGAAAAATCCTCAAAATTGTGTTGATTCCTAAGCCAAAAGAGATATTATCGGTCATTGAATATATAATAAGCCCAACAAGGTTTCATAAACCGGAAACTCACACAGGTAAAAATTTATTTGAATCCCCTGTAACCTGCACATAATCAACAATCAAACAATACTGTTCACATAAAGAACTTGTCATCCTCATAAAGGCTTGAGGTTAGTGGTTCCAAATTGCAAGGTGATGGCCTTGGAAACATCAAATAAAGTGTAACAACTTTTAAGAAGATCTCAATTAAGAGTACAATCAAGCTCCTCAAACTAAGTAGGTATGAAAGCAAAAACATGCAAATCCATAATGGTTTGCATTCTTGCTTGTCCGTAGAGAACTCACTCATGGTTGGCACTACATTACAAGGGCATATCATTACTGATACCAAGTTTGTAAGCATATCTTATGATTTTCAGCCAACATCATGATTATGTTGCTCCTTCAAAACAATTTAAAGCGACATGGATGAATAAATGACAAGAGGTGAAGCTTAAAGCACCTTCTTTTGATGCTAAATCAAACTTGAAGGTCTTTCAGAATGTCAATTATACATAAACCCCCATTTCAGTATAACTAGATTCCTACAACCCATTGGGATAAGCTTTCTAAATGATGTTAGCATAAAAGCGAGTCCGTTTACCCAGCATGGAAAGATAACAAACTAGTAAAGAAAGTTTCCAAGTATTTCCAAACAGCAAAATCAACTCAAGGATAAGTTTTCAATCTTATGAACAAGAACGTTACGTACATCAAAAACTGAATTGATTTGACAATTATATGACCCAATTGAATTTGAAGAAAACTCAATTGGACCATGTAAAAATTTCTCATTAGTTTAATTGGAACAAATAGAAATGCCACGCAGCCTTGTGTATCCTAAAGAAAACTCATATTCCTAGTTGTTTTAGAGTTCAAGCAATTATTGAAAATCTAAAGCTAGTAAGCTTAATTCCCAAACCAAGGGAGCACAATCTAATTGACAAGGGCACACCGTATACCACTAAAGCACAGGTTTTCTCTAGTGAAAGTACAAAACAAGAATCTTAAAGGAAATTTATAATGTGCTTATGGTTTTAAGGATGGCGGCATTGGCATTGTTCCAATGCAAGTTCTTTCACCATTATGCTTTTCTATGTCATAATAAAAACCTCCTCATTGAAGGAGATGAGGATGGCAGTGGAGATAATTTAGCCAAACAATATTTAGAAGACAGTATTTCATAGGCTCCAGGCCCTGTGTCCTAATTGAAAAAAGGGTGAAGTAAATTGGTATAGAACCACAAGCACCAACTCATATTTTAATAAGAGAGAAACCCTCTTAACTCATAAATCATAATAGGCATTCGAAAGCCCGTGAGTTCATCAAGATATGCATTGGAACCATTTAGCTTGCCATTTAACCAGGTTGGATCAAATGGGATGGCTTGCCAACCTTCCTGCTGGACCGGACTGGTCGGAACCAATTAGGGCAGAAGCTTCGCCCCTCTCCATCTCATGCTCTAATTTCTCTCCTGACTAATCCTTCCTTTCTTACTTGGGCTGCATTTCAAATTCCTTCATTTTCCTTTCCACACTTCTTTAATCCTTGCACATTTTTCCTATTTACCTAGTCTACCTCCTACTCCCACCTTATTTAAATTGTGGTGTGTTGTTTGCTAAACAGTTTTGATCCTTCTCTGATTTCAGGTGTGCCACCAACGTGTTCCCACTCCGATGGATGTTTTCAACGGCAAACGGTGCTTCGATTGTACCTCGCCCAAAATGGTGTTATCCCTGTGCAATCCCTGCCATCCTCAGCAGCCATCCCAGCTCTTCGTAGTGACCCCCCGAGTGAACTGATCTCGCTAGCTCTTCTCAGATGCTCGCAAGCCCTACCGACACCCCGCTCCCGCATATACAGGCCGTTGATCACCCTCCCTGCTCATCTCAATCGCTCGCAGCTCTCACCAGCACCCTTCCTCCACACAAACGAGTCACTGTTCAACTCTCCTGCTCGCCCACAGTCACTCAGCTTCCGCCAGTGCCTTTCCTCTGCACAAACGAGCCGCTATTTGCCCCTCCTGAACATCCCACCAACGCCCATTTCTACTCAGGACTTTCGCACTACTCCACTGAGTGGGTTGTGCAACTGCAAGTCAGTCGTGTTCCACCAACGACCGTTGTACCTCCGCACTGGCCCCTGCTAATCCGTCGACCCTCTGTCGGCGTCGTCCTCCCCTTCCGTCGGTCGTGTCTGTATCCTACAGTCGGTCAACACCCTTTGAGCAACTCTACGCAGCTCCTTCCACTCCCAGATCTCCTGCACCAGCTCGAGAGGGTTGTTTCTATCATTTATTATTTACTTTTTTTTTTATTTCCGTAAGTTGCATTTATCATTATTTGTGTTATGCTATTGTTGTTACATCATTTATTGTTGAACCATCATCCTTGTACCCTTTTGAAATAAGCAATAAAATGTGTCAAGTTTTGGGTTAACTCCGGTATCATACATAGTGATTATATGATAATAACTTAGATAAATTAGGGCTTAACATAGGTTAAATTAGAGCACAAATACAAATACAAGACTACATTTCGATTAAATATTAAATTGTGCTAATTAAATGTTAATATTAATTATAGACTACAATTGTTACATTTCTCATTCCCACGCATTCTTTCAGTTTGCCATTTTGAGAACAAGAAATAATTTGAGCATCCAAAAATGTTACGTTATGCTATTATGAGGAAAAAATGGAAAGCAAAATGAAAATAAATCTAAGTGCAACTAACTATTGATCTAGGAAAAAAATATTAACTAAAATTTTCATTAAAAGTAATAAAGTTCAGTAGCATTCAATAATAGTAATTCAACCAAGTATATTTAATTAAACTAATAGAACATATTAATTGATGATTTACTACTAATTATGTTTAAGTAGGATTTCTATATAGCTTAAAATTTTAACTATACTGGATTTCAGTCAATTAAATATATATATTAAATGAAATTTGATTAATTTTAAATGTTGATAATTAGCAAGTGTTTACATAATAAAAACTTCAACTAACAGGGGCCTAAATAAAGTGTAATTTGGATAATTACTACTTGGATTGAATTGATTATGAATTACATACTAAATTACTAAATTCTAATGAAATATGGTTGTTTAAATTTTATCCCCAAACAAGTTTTCTATTTTCTTTTTCTAAAAGCGACAAATAAGTATAAAACAAACACGTATTGTCATATGCTAAATAAGAAACAACACAAAAAATAAACAAGATAAAATTTTATTTAAGCAAGTCACCTCCACTGAAGAATGACTCCAATGTCAAGCTCACGATCCAGTTTATCAATTTCTTCATTGTCATCCACTACCAAGCGGGATAAATCAGACTTTAAGAGAGAAGCATAAAGAGACAAATATCTCTTGCGGATACTGGCATATCGCAGAACATCCTCCCAAGAGAGTTTCCCACTGCAACATATTAGTGGAATGTTACACCGAGAAAGACAGCAAATGCTCGATAAAAATAAAAATTCCTTCTGTATGTTTTACTAGCTTGCATTTCCTCTGACAATTAATTTGATAATAATACGGCAAACAATTATAGACAAATAAAGATGCTGATCCAAAAGACCAAATTCCTGATAAATATTGAACTCCACATACTTATAGCATCACTAAGTATAGGTATATCATCTAAACTGGAACTGATAATAGAGAATTTGTTACACATAAAACCATATAATAATTAAAAGCATAAGCTTCATAGTTAACATAACAATCCATAATGCAATTTCAGTGAGAATTAAACTAAAAAATAATTAGACATTATAATTAGAAGATCATACGTGTCGTGATTCTCCTATACGGATGCTTTGATTGTATCTCACTCCCAAGGTGGTATTTATTCTTCCCCGACTCCTTTGCATCCCTCTCATTTCACTACAACGCATTCCTCCTTGTTGCAGCCTCCTCCCGGCTGTCTTCCTACAGTTCCTGGTCTTCCAACCGCAGCATGCTCACTGCTAGCCGCCCGGAATCATTCCTCTGACACCCCTGCTGCTCTCCCAGCCACCCACAACCTTCTCCCCGCCTTCTGCCTTCCAGCCGCAGCCCCCTGAGCCCCTCGCCTTGTTGTCCATTCCTGTTTCCAGCCATCTGAACCACATCACTCCAGCCTCGCTGCTGTTACATTACTTCTCCCACACTGCCATTGCTGTTCCAGCTGCCCAAGACCGTTCCCCGGGCCACCTCACTGCTGTCCCAGCCGCCGAACCATCTCCTCGAGGCCTAGCTGCTGTCCAGCGGCCCAGAACAGCCCCTAGCAACTGTTTCTTCGCTATCCCCACCACATCCAAACCCCTATCGGCCACCACCCCCACCTGAAAACCACCCCAGTTAAGTGTCTGTTGTCTAATTCAGATTCCCAGGTGATGCGTTGTTGTATTTTTCCTTTCAAGTGTGTTAGTTCTAACTGCCAATTTGTTCGCAAAAATAATACTTGTTTCTAAAATTATTGTTTGGGATAAATTTGGTATCAATTCAAATCTCATAAGATGCTTTGCTTATTTAGCTGATGAAGGTTGTGTGCAATTTAATGGTTTCAAAATGATAGTGACCCAACAGGTGAAAGTAATGGTGCACGTCCCTGTCAAACGAAAAAAAATGCTTTTGGGATGATATCTATGATTTAACTTTCTATTTTTAGAATCAGACAGCTCAATACCACATACATTCAACATTTCTTCATCAAATGGAAAAGTTTACTATCAACCAAAAATTTGCTTTCTGAAGTGCTAGTTGAGGTTGTGATGTCAATGTGATTCCTGGACCTATAGTTGGTAATCAATCAAAATAATCACTAACAATATCAAATAGAGTGGCTGGGAAATATGATTCTGGTAAGCCTTTTTCGGATTTATCTGCTACCAAGATCAATAACAAGCTTCTTGATCTACTGCTGTAAGAAAATAACAACAAATTTGGTATGCTACGGCATATTCAAGAAATTGTTAATTCATGGTACTGCAGTTGTTTCCAGCAAGTTCGCAGCCAAAGAATTTTCAAACTCAAATCAAAGCAGAAAAACTTTCCACAGCTTCTAATCCTTCTCAACTTTAGTTAACACCATGGATATCATTTTAACGATTCTTCTAAGAAGATAACTCAAAACCAGCCCACAAATCAAATTCCAGTGGAGTCACAGAAATGTTGGATTTCAATCGGTCTTCATTGCACATTCCTTAGGTTTCCCCTCCTGCTAATGGAATGAATAAGGCTCAAACATTTGCAGAGGCTGACAACATAGATAAATCTAAAAGGTAAATCAATTTCCGTTTACCTTGGTCAAGGCAAACAGTTCCTTTTTTGTCATAGTTGTCCTAAACATTTGATCTGTATGAAAACAAAAAATGTGGAAATATATTGAACAAACACTTGCTTTCTGCAAACCCAAAATGCAGAGTGCTTGCATTCGCAGTAGAATCTCCATTCCAAATGTTAAAATTTCTTGAAGGATAAATTCACCCACCCTTCTCATAATGGCAAATGAAATGTTTTTGCTCAAAGAAATCTGACATATCCATGAAAGACTTTGGCTTATATATAACCTTATAACTTTCTATGCACACAAAACTCTTGACATCTTTTACATTTCCTATTTACAAATAGAACCCTAAACTATATAAGATTCTCAGCACTCCCCCTCAAGATGGGCAAAAGATATCAACTAAGCTCATCTTGTCACACAACCTAGATAGATCTAACGAGCTAAGTCCCATGGTGAGGCATTCAGCTACTTGCTCTCTAGAAGCTACATGACTTTTCTCCAGTAGTCCACTATTTAGCTTCTCCTTGATGAAGAACTTATCAATCTCCATATGCTTGATTGTGTCGTACTGCACCGAGTTGTTGGCAATGTTGATTGTTAACTTGTTGTCGCGCCACGACTTCATTTGAGCTCCTTAGTCTAACAATAGAGCTCTCAGCCATAACATCCTTAGTCTATCAATAGAGCTCTCAGCCATAAAATCTTGGCAACTCCCAAAGCCATGACCCAGTATTCTGCCTCTGCCTTCAACCTTGCAACTACTGACTGCTTCTCACTCTTCAAAGACAGCAAATTTCCCCCTAAGAATATGCGGTATCCTGACGTGAACCTCATGTCATCAGCACAACTAGCACAATCAGAGTCACAGTAGCCTCAATGCCTAAATGTTTTTTTTTTTTTAAATCAACCCCTTGGTGCACTCTTCAGGTGCCTCAAAATCTGATACATTACATCCTTGTGGCCCTTCCTTGAATCATGCATTTACCGATTTACCATGCTTACTGCAAATGATATGTCAGGAAGAGTAAGACTCAGATAGATAAGATGGTCTACCAACCTCTGGTACCTCTCATGATCAACACGCTTTCTTGCCTCTATGCTCAACTTTCCCTTCTGATCAATTGGTGAAATTGCAAGCTTGCATCTCAACATGTTTGTCCCAATGAGCCAGTCTAGCATAAACTTCCTCTGAGATAGAACAATCCCTCTGCTCCACGAACCACCTCAATCCCAAAGAAATATTTAAGATGTCTCAGGTCATTCACCTCAAACTCTTTGCTCACACATGACTTCAGCTGAGCAAGCTCTCCCTCATCATCACCAGTGACCATCATATCATCCACATACGCGGCAAGAATAATAATGTGATCAATATGTCGTCGAAAGAATATTGTGGTCGGCATTAATCTGTCGATAGCCCAACTCTACCATTGCTCCCCTGAACTTGTCAAACTAAGCTTAAGGAGACAATTTCAAACCATACAGTGACTTCCTCAATTTAAGACGATGTTTCTTGTTTAGTCTGTGTCAAAGCTTGGGAGTATTTTCATGCACACCTCCTATGGTAGATCCTCATAAAGAAATGCATTCTTCACAACCAGTTGGTGTAACATCCATCCAACATTCACAGACAGAGAAAAGAGTGTCCTAACTGTGCTCATCTTCGTCATTGCTGCAAACGTCTCATTATAGTCAATGACATACGTCTAACCATACCCCTTTCACCGCCAATCATGCTTTGTAGCGATCAATCTTTCCTTCTGGGGTTCACTTCACTGCGAAGACCAATTTGCATCCGACTGCATTTTTCCCCTTGATAGCACCAAGTTCCTCCAACATGACAGTCTTCAACTTTATATCCTCCTCAACTACCTATCAACACTTAAATATAGAGACGGCGTCAGTACACAGGTGATATTATAAAGTATGAGATAAATTGAGAAATATCGTGTGAGAAACCAAAATAATCAGGAAAATAACGATTAGAAGAATGACCCTTATTTTTCTGATAAGTCCTTCTCAAAGAATCATATCACCTGTGTAATTGAATTCTTAGGTGGATCGTGTAGGTGCCTCAAGAGTTGGGGGAGACTGCAAAACTTGTGGTCACGAGTGGCATGACAGGCATTGTTCCCTCACTTTATCTCCTTCTCCATGAGTACACCCTCAGCTCCCTTTCAGCTTGAACTCCTCAACCTTAGGGCTCATTTTTCTCAGAGATCGGTTCTTCCTCATTCGATCATATTCCCATAATGGGACAAGGCATTGTTCCCACATTTACAAATCGCTCACCATAGCTACTCTCCCCCTCTCGCCACATACCTTCATTATTTGACGAGTCACGAAAAAAGTGGGGTCACCTCCAAGAAAAAGTACGATTCGAATACTCTAAAAGTCATATTCATACCAATAGTTTCTTCTCTATTGGGCTCCAACAAACATAAATCTTCTCAAAAGAATAACGCACAAAAACACACTTCACAGCTCTGGGATACAGCTTTCCTATTAATGGTCTATTGTCCTTCACGAAACATACACAAACAAATACCTTCAACAAGAGGATCCTGCCATTATCTTCTTTTCAAAACTCACAAGGAGATTGTCACTCCAATACTTTTGAAAACATTATATTGATCAATTGAGCGGATGTCAAAATTGTTTTCTCTCACAGGTGCTTTAAGGCTTTCATCGATATCATTATGCTACCTCTACGTTTTGTGTCATTGTGTATGGACATGTGGTTTGATGATATATGTCTTAGGTTGACATGTGCTCCCCAAACACGTTGTTAGTATACTATGTCCATTATCAGACCTCAATATCTTTACTAATGCACCGTATTGGGACTTAAACGCTATGTGAAAGTCTTTAAAGCAGGCAAGCAATTTACTTTTGTTTCACATCAAATACAATCAAGTGACACGAGAAAAACAATAAAAGTCACAAAATATCTATAGTCATTCATCGAAGCTTAGAATAAAGTTCTTATACATCTGAATGCATCAAATCAAAAACACAAGAACCGTTTTTACCATAACTAACATAAGAGTTCCTGGTATGCTTATCAAACTCACATGCATCACACACAATTTTTTGTTTATTTGTCTTCCCGTACAAAAACAGATACAAATGGCTCAAAAGA